AACGCTGATGCAGGCACAAAGGGGTGAAACGCAGCGTTACCTGAATAAAATGACAGATTTCTCTGAGTTTGAACATTGTTGGAAACATTTGGGATAATGTAAGAGTTTATAAAGATTTTAATTCAGAAATGTTTCATATTATATCTTTAAGTGGAGGATGTCAGTACTTCTTTAACCAAAAAACTACAACAGGAGGATTGTGGCAGTCCCGATATTGCCTCAGAGGCGAAACCCAGGGCAAAAAGTCAGAAAAACACTCTACTACTACTACTACTACTACTACTCACTACTAAAGTTTAAAGCTGAGCTTAATTAACATTTTCTCTCATCTGGATTTTGGCAGCTGCACAGTCAGAAGTCTTTAAAGAGTATTTAGAGAAAGAATTAAACTGACCCCAATAAATTAGTAACTAAGACGACTTCCTGTTTTGTTTTCTTCTGTGTGTCAGAACGTGACGGCTAACCACCGAGTGAATGACGCTGTGTTCACGGAGGACGGAGCCCAGATGGTGACCGGGCGCTTCATGTACGGCCCTCTGGACATGGTCACCCTCACTGGAGAGAAGGTAATGACGACGTCCAGCTGCACCAAAAAAAAAAAAGAATTATGTAATTGTGTCACCATCTGTGTCATTAAGGTCCTACAGAGTTGAACAGATCTTTGTGTTAATTTACTGCAGATTGACATCCACATCATGACCCAGCCTCCCTCTGGAGAGTGGGTGTACTTCAACACAGAGCTCACCAACAGCAGTGGGCGTATCTCCTATGTACTCCCCGAGAGCAAAAAGCTCGGTATCGGGGTGTATCCTGTCAAAATGGTGGTCAGGTACGCAAAGTGGTTGTTATTTCTCGTACAAAATGTAGATTTTACTTCTCCATTCACAATGACCTTTCTCTCTTTCTGTCACACACACAGGGGTGACCACACATTTGCAGACAGCTATCTCACTATCGTGCCACGAGGAACAGAGTTTGTCGTGTTCAGTATTGACGGGTCATTTGCTGCCAGCGTGTCTATAATGGGCAGCGACCCGAAGGTTCGAGCTGGAGCTGTGGACGTGGTGAGGTACGGATCACACGCAGAGCCCTCTGCAGGTTTATTCTGCAGTAATATTTGCTGGTTCTGTAAGTGGTCACACAGATTTGGCAGAAAGGCTCGCTGAGGAAGTTACTTGAGGTTTGTTTGTGAGACATATTTATTGTAATTACCAGTAATTCCATGTCCATCTACTACTAATAGACTCAGCTCATAAAGTCAGTAAGAGTTCCCAGTGGACAACATGAAGATATCCTTTGTTTTATTTCCCTAGATTGTCCTGAAATTGTCTAGAATACAGGATTTACAGACACTAAAGCCGCAGTAACTGCAGCCGAAGCTCAGAGAAACCCAGGGAGAGCGCAGTGACTGCACTTTTGGTTTTTGGTTGGACTTTGTAGTTTGTAGTCACTTTTCTCTAAAATAGAGCAAGGCTGAACTTAGATAGTTACAAGATAAAACAGACAATTAAAAGTTAATTTTAAAGTCATAAGTAACTTTCATAGGGCAGTATAGCCCACCAGACTCCATTGACAATGACAATTTTACCTGACAGGCAACTGTGAAAAATGGGATGGAAACATAATAAAACTCACCAAAACTGTCTTTGTTAGTCTTTCCATCAACCGTCAGCTCTGGTTTGGTCGAAATAAAAAATTAAATTCTAGAATTTTACCACCGTAGGTAAGAAAATATTTATGAGATGGGCTGCAATGTAATCCATGGGGACAAAAGCGCCTGACAAAGTACATCCACTAAGTGCTTGTTTTTTTTTGCCACAGACAGGCTCTGATTATTAATCTAAGTGTCTAACAACATTATGGAAAGGATCCCTACAGAGATAGACCTTTTTTAAATCCCAGAAACAGCCGTAATATCGTCATCGCCACCACTTCATAGAACAAAATCAGTAATTTACCTCACAGACCTTTGTACATCGTAATTCATTCAGAAAAACAAAATCAAACTCACCAAAACTGTCTTTTTGTTAGTCTAACAACAATCACCAACTCTGATTCGGTCTAAATCCTTAATTCACCGACATACAGCTGCAGTTTCAGTCGGCTTTGTTAACAAACCACAGAGATGCTACGATAACAGCACAGGCGGAGGGAATGTGATGCCATTATCTGCTGCTATACTAATGTTTCTCACATATTAAACAAAGCGTCAGGTTATAATGGCTGCCGTGTTATTTCTCGCAGGTACTGGCAGGATTTGGGCTATTTGATCGTATACGTAACGGGTCGTCCTGACATGCAGAAGCAGCGTGTGGTGGCCTGGCTCTCCCAGCATAACTTCCCTCACGGCATCGTCTCCTTCTGCGACGGGCTGGTTCATGACCCGCTCCGACACAAGGCCAACTTCCTCAAAACCCTCATCAATGAGGTAAGTAAGGTTGCTGTGAGGTTTGGCGACGGTTTTATGATAAAATCCTTGAAAGTCTCTTCACGCTGACCCCTCCCTCTTTGATTAGGCCCACATGAGGATCTTTGCAGCCTATGGTTCCACCAAGGACATCTCTGTGTACTCGACTATCGGCCTGCCTCCGTCCCACATCTACATAGTGGGAAGGCCTACGAAGAAAATGCAGCACCAGTGTCAGGTATGGAATAAACGCTGATATCAGGGGAAACACGCACACTATATTCTGTTTTTTTACACCCATCAGATGGTTTAACGGTGAATTGATGGTAATGAATAAGCAAGTTAGAGTTAAGTGTATTGTTACATCCCTATTGGTTCTTCATAATCAACAATGGGGCCACTGTGAAGCCTGATTGTAATGCAAGGAATTATTATTTTTTTGCGATTATAAGGGTCTCGCAGAGGGGTTTGGCAAAATGGCTCAACAGTGCCCCCTAAATGCAGCCGAGATTCACTGATATGTATAACAATAAGCAAATGTATCATGCCTCTTTGAGCCATAACCCAAACCCAACAGGAAGTCACCCTTTGTGAATTTAGTGGTCTTTTTTGACGATTTGCACACGTTGTATTTTGACAACTCCTCCTAGGGAATTGATCCGATTGACTTCAAATTTGGTTCTGGCAATCTAAAGACCTTCATAATTAAAATCTGTGCTATTTGTTGCTGTATGTCAAACAGCGTGTCTGTGGCGTGGCGTAAAATTCTGACATTTCGCCTTTGCATCTTTGTGAAATATCGGATCGTTTTAGCTCATATTTAACAATGATATGTATTTTATACGTTTTTTTTTAATGTAAAATCTGATCTCTTAACTACAAACTAAAGCTGTCAGATAAATGTAGTGGAGTAGCATAAAATGAAGATACTCAAAGTACAAGTAGCTGACAGTTGTACTTGAGTAATACTGTATTGTAACATTTCACCACTGTTTCCATAAGGCCATGAAAAGGCGGTTTGAATAACTGAATTGTCAGAGGGTTTTTCGCTCTCTATACGAGTTACTAAACCAGATTTTATCGACTTCACGTCTTTTCCAGTTCATCCCGGATGGCTACGCTTCCCACCTGTCCCAGCTGGAGTACAGCCAGAGGTCTCGTCCCGCCAAGTCTGCCAGCACCCGCATGGTCCTCCGCAAGGGCAGCTTCGGTTTGGGAGCCGCCGGAGGAGAGTTCCTTCGCAAACGCAATCACATCTTTCGCACCATCTCGTCTCAGCAGCCCGGAGGGGCGGGGTCGGCCTCTACCAACCAACCTGGGCGGACTGAGCGCACGCTGAGCCAGTGCGAGCTGGAGCGGGATCGAGGGATCGGGGTGGCAACCCAGAGGAGTATGAGCATAGCTGCGGGGTGCTGGGGCCGCAGCGGGAGCACCAAGGAGGGCAGTGGGGGGTTACTCAGCCCTAAATAGGATTCAAAATGGAGCTGTGGTGTTAAAGGACCCGGCCTGAGCCACCATGATCCCTGGACTGGACAAAAGGTGGAAGACGAGGAAGTGAATGGAGGGTTTGTATTTTAGAGATTAAGCTGAGGTGAGATTGGTGGTTAGAGAACAGGGAAGGAGAGGTGGCGAGGGATCTGTCCAGGAGGAGTGGACTAATCAGGCCAAGTGGGATCCAGCGAACAAAAGACAGTTCTGTAGCATGACTCTTTTACAGTAATACTTTTATAGGATACATCACTAACTATTTAAAAAAAAAAAACGATAAGGAAGGATTAAATGAAATATTGTAAGCCTTAAACTGATCTCGTATAACGGGACAACGCCCCCCACCTCCCCTCTCCGAACAGACACAGACACACACACACATACATACAATACCAGTCTGTCCTAGCATTCACACTCATGAGCTCAGGACAAACTGCAGAGCCAGATTCATCTTCAAACAGGTCAGGCACGGGTTCGAGGCAAAAACCCAACGACTTTCACTTCTGTTTCTGTCCCACTATCCAATGAGCGACGGCACTCCACCCAGCAGTGACTGGCAATAACACAGGAGGAAGGAGACGGTTCATCCAAAATTACATAAACGATAAACATATTTTCTCACCTGCCTCTAGTGGGAGCGAGACATGCAAGATAGTTTTGGTTGTATTTGTCCAGGATTTGATCTGTCTGAGATTATCGCCTCCACCCCCAATACAGTAAATGAGAACTGATGATTATACAGTGATGGTCTGTCAGTCAGTTGACAATAACTCTTCAACATTTGGATGGATTGCCATGAAATTATGTAGAAATATTCATGATTCCCAGACGATTAATCGACTGACTTTGGTGATCTTCTGACTTTTCCTTTAGCGCCACCATGAGGTTGACATTTGTGGTTTGAGTGAAATGTCTCAGTAACTATTAGAAGAACTGACATGAACATGATCTGTCAATCACAAGGTAGTCCCGCCCTAATAGCTGAGCTAATAAATCAAGTGAGAAATCAGCTCATTTCTCCATAAGACTCAATGTTATTGCTCTTCTTTAAAAAGAATGCATGTTTAAGACACTTCTACATTGGCTTCACCTCACAAACTGGGAAGTTCTGTTTACTAGCTATATACTATGCTCTTGATGCAATTGGATAGACCTACAACCAATCAGAGCAACAAGTAGTAGTAGTAGTTTAGTAGTTAAATTAAACAAATCCTGTTTTATAGTACGGCGAACACATAATTGCTTTAAGTGAAGTTCTTCTAGATAAAATATACCGTCCATTTTGACGTGATTCAGCAGAAACAGTTCCACACAGCGGCATCTTGGTTGCTTTATGAAATAGCTTTACAGCCAGTACGGTTGCAACCAGTATTAGATGGATGGTTATCGTTGGCCCGACCAGATCCAGGACAGGAGGAAATCTGTCTGAATTGGGGGGTGGTCAGTGCATTCGTGTGGTTAGCAAATGTTATCATGCTAACACAATAAATTGGTAAACATCACCACAGTAGCACGCTTTTGTTAGCATTTAGTTCAAAGCACGGCTAGTGTAGCCTCAAAGAGCAGCTAGCATGGCTGTAAAAGATCCCACAGTGGTGGCAGTTTTGATAAACCAAACTACCTACATGGATAGATGACATGAGAGACAAGTGAGAAAATATGTATTTGTTGTAATTTGGGTGAACCGGTCCTTTAAACATCATGAAATATATTGTTTCAGAGGTGAAAGTCCTTATTGTCTTAGTCACAGAACAATTTTTGTTCGTGCTACATAATAACAGGTCGCTAGTCCGGTTTTCATTCCAGCGTGTGTGAGACTCTGTAGTATTATCCCTTCCAGTGTGGCCTCTGGGCCATCCAAGGCCTTAATATCCACAAAGACACTTGCTCCACAGATGGAACAGAAAGCAGAAAAACAGGGCATGCAGCATTAAAGCAACAACTGAAACTATGTACAGTCCACAGCAACAATCCCTTTATATATTCATCTGCTTGCAATACCTCTGATCCACCTGTTGGTGGTGTTATGTTTCCCACATGTGCTGCTGCTGGGAGACACTTGTGTGGTGTTCCCCCGACTTTTTGCTCTTTTTGCTCATAGGATACACAACAGGATGGGACCTGGTTGTTTCTGCTGAGGAGCCTGTTTCATTTCAGGCTGGACCCTGACGTAGGGACGGACACAGTATTTCCACACAGCTTTCACTTACAGAGACCTGTTAATCTTTCAGTATTTTTACCAAATGGACTAAAGAGAGGACCAGAAGTGATTGAGCATGAATGTTGAAAAGACAGAATTCCCTCATGAGAGCAAACATCATTTCATTGCTTCTGTCTACTGAACTGTATATTTTAATACAAAGGGGACATAGAAGAAGAAGAAGCCTCCTCACATCTCCAATCCAAAAACACAAACGTGTGCACAAAATGGTTTTTCCAGTGCTAATGCCACCCAAGCTAGTCCGTCTTAAAACACTGGTCAGAAACTGTTGCTTGCTGTAATCATTTATACGGGCCATTCAAAGATTTCTAATGTGCTTCCAGTGTAAGTGATCGGGGACAAAATCCACCCTGTTCTGTGCAAAACTTTACATAAAGCTAATATGAAGGTTCATCAGTCTGAGTTAGTCAAATCAAGTGGATATCTCTCAGAGTTACAGGAATCAGGATCAAGTTTCAGGATGCGTCACATCTGATAAGGTTGACAAATTACTTACTGCTGTGTTCAGAGTCTGGAAATAATGCTATTTTAAATTTCTGATTCTTAAACATGTAGTAGGAATTTAGGATAAGGCCTTAGAATGGTTTAAATCATAACTACAACAAAGATCAGTATCAATTATGATTGATAATGTTTCGTCCTCTTCTGCTATGTCTCCTGTGGTGTCCCCCAAGGCTCCATCCTGGGGTCTATTTTATTTTTAATTGTATATGCTTCCACTGGGCTCTTTGCTTTAAAATTTAACTTATATGCTGATGACACACAGCTATACTTATATATATAACCAAGCAGTAAAAACATAATCTTTAGTCTCTCTTAGGCCGAGATTTTAAATGATCAGTAGTATAGCATATTCTCTTTTCCCTCTACAATTAGGTTGATCTTTATATTAAAAAGACAAACTTTGGAAGATATTTACCTATGTTTTCTTACTGTTAAAGCCTCGTATTATCTTCAGATAAACTTTGGAATAGATTTTTGCACAAAATTAGTATTTTACTTTCCAGAGGAAGCACATTAAGGATCTTTTAATGGCCAGTATGAACAGGACAGGTCTCAATGTTCAAATGGACACCTGACTATTATTTTAAAACTGAGTGGGAAAATGAACCTACAGTATAGTTTAAACCCATGGAAGCTTTTGGAGTAAGGATGTGTGGAGCGGTTGTACCTCTTGTTCACTCCCTGCTTCCACACTACACAAGAGTGTCTGTTTCCACTCTCTGTGTGATCAGCAATGTCTTCAACCGCACCACAAAAGCCAAAATCATTCTCTTAATACTGTAGTTAATCAACTGTGTAACCTCATTGTTGTTTTTTGCACTAGTTTACGGTGGAAATATACTGTAGTTACCATCTCATGTTGCTACATTTGAACACCTCCGTAGTGCATGACACTTTTTATTAATTTCAGGGTAAACTGTATGTGCAGGTACGCACATGTCTGTACATTTTGTCAAGATATGAAAATAATCTAAGTAAATGTGCCAAACAGTAGAAAGTTTTTAGGTATTTAGACCAGGGGTTTTCAAAGTCTGGCACTGTGGGTCCCCCCTCGGAAACACTCCCTGACCTCCTATTCTCCTGTTCTTGTTCTTTGTCTTTGGTAGATAAAAATGCTCTCTCAGTTTTGGAGCTACAGTTCCCATAATGCTGGAAGTAAAATATTGCTAGGGATCCAGTGAGTTCAGCTACAACTGGCACCATTAAAAGAAAGCTGAATTAGCTATAAGTGGTTCCTGTTTGCAATTTACACACTGATGTACAGACAGCTATCACTGGATTACTTTGATACTGAAGAAAACTTAAATCGTGATGATTCTAGGGCAAGTTCTAAAATTATAAGAACTCTATGGCTGTTTATTCCCATCAGAGATAACGACATAAAAAAAATGTTTAAGTCACACTGAATCTTAAAATATGTGTATAATGTCTGCATGTTCAGATTTGACTTGCGATCTTGACGCAATTTGCAGCAACAGGGGCACTACCGGTTCATAGGTCCAGTGTGAAGGATTTAGTGACATCTACTGGTGAAGTTGCAGAATGCAACCAACTAAATACCGCACAGCCTTGCAAGCAAGTAGAAGAAACTACAGTGGAAAAGAGAAGAAGAAGAGATAAAGAAGGATCTCTAAGGTAACGAAAACACAAAGATTCTTATTTTCAGGTGATTATACACTCTAAATGTTACACACTGGATCTTTAAAGTACCTTTTTTGCCTCCATGAGCTGTGTATTACAGCATGCACTTGCCGAATGAGTTTTGAAAACCCCTGATTTAGACAGTATCCAACCTTTTTTTGTAGTATTACGTACCGCTTTGACTGGATTTTTACGACTGCCCCTTTTAAATCCGATATTGTCCACGTCTGAGAACGAAAAAGTGGCTTTAACAGAGAATTGAAGATGTCTTTTAAACTTTGAATGGAGAGCAGAGGTCAGAGCGTGTTGCTGTAATCGTGGACAATAAGCTATGTTGCGAGAGGTCATGGACTTTTAGCTTTGAGTTTGTGGGAGGTTTTTTTTGGCTGCAAAACACATTGTTCCCCCTCTGGCCGATTGGCTGCTGAGTTGAATGTCCGCTCATTTGGATTCTGAGACTGTTCAGGAGCCATGGATGTGTCAGTGTACATACTGTAAAGATGTATATGTAGGACTTATATGTTTGAGAGTTATTTATTTACCTAAAGATCATGATGTTACTCTGGAAAATTTCAGGTGAAATATATTTGAAATATGTAGCATTTTATTTGTCACTTTGGCGGTCATTAACGCTACGGACCAACACAGGAAAGGTTTTATGTTTTTACCAGTGCAATATTATTGTTCCAATCACAGCCAGGCAGAACCACTATCACAGCAGGGGCACAATCTACCACAATACAAGCTACAGGCAATTCACAGTCTGCAATCATCACACACACACCACCTGCAGTTGTTTCACACCTCGTGAAAACTATTTGTATTTAAGCTACTGTTGACCTCTGCTGTCTCTTTACAACAGTCAACTGCTGAGCATTTTATAGGACTTACTGTACCTATTTTTCAAACTGGAGTATTTTACAAAACCTTTGAAATATAACTGGAGACTGGTTTTTTAGTCAGCGGGTGCATGAAAAAGTGAAACCCCATTAACGAAGCAGCTCTATTTAACAAGCTGTTTGCATGTCATCCAGTCAGATTGGAACTACTTAACCTTCATGCTTAACAGTAATAAACCAGTCGTGTTGTCCACTATGTCCTCACTGTTTAATGAAATATATATCAAAACGTTCTGCTGATTATATTTGAGATTATTGCCACATTTGGATGAGAAGAAATACACTTAGAGACCTACAGAGGTGTTTTAAAATCCAGTATTAGTTTTTAGTTATGGACACTTTTCTAATAAAACACCATTTTATGCAGTAACTGATTATTAGGATTGTTTTATCGATGGTTAAATTAATGATTTTAATTATTTTTCCAACAGAGAGAAGATCAATATCACTTTCATATCTGTCAGCAGCCAGTTAGCTTAGCTTAGCATAAAGACTGGGAGCAGTGGGAAACATCTAGCCTGGGTCCTGGTTGGGAAATAAAGTGGCACTTTTACACAGATTTTGAATGAATTAAACAAAGAAAAGATGTAGACGGGTTAATTAGTGAGACAGCTGGTTGTGTCGGTTGGTCGTTTCCAGTCTTTATGCTAAGCTAAGCTAAGGCTGTACAGTAGGTTCATATTTAACGGACAGATGTGAGCAGTATTGATCTTTTCATGTAACTTTCTTCAAACTTTTCCGTTAAAAAATGAATTACTAACACTTCATAGATGAGTTAAAAGTCAAAAGTAAGTGAAAAATTCTGAAGAAAATCCCTCTAGTTTAACTGTTTGATCAGTTATTTCTAGAAAAGACTTTAATTATTAACATTAAACAACTGCAGACAGATTCATTCTTTATTACCTATTAACATTTATAACTGCAGAATTGATGAAAGGATTACAAATATTTTAAATACAAATATTAGCAAATAAAAAAAACTCTTTATATTTATGGATTAATGAACCATAAATATACCATAAACTATAAATCCTGCATAAAGGGCGCCTTATTATTAAAGTGTACCAACATTTTATACGACTGTTTATTAATCCCAACACTGGGATGTTACTTCGTGGTAATCCAGCTGTACGGTCAGTCATATTTTTAAAATACTCAACTGAAATAAAACATCACAAATATTATAGAACTGTATGTTTGTGACATATTAAGCTGTCAAAAGTTATGGTGGCAATAATTCATATATATTTTGGATATATGCAGTGTTTGCGATTAGATTCATGCTCAAATTTGAACGTATTTCAACAACACTTTATTTTAACCCCTTTTGTTTAGCATTTATAAGCAGTAACACACATTTTAACACACTATAATGTAGTTGTAAGCAATTAAAGGGGCAATTATTAAGGTTTTTAAATGTATTTGTAACAACTGTTAAGTTAATTAAATATTTATTTAATTTTTTTATTAACCTTTAGTATATTATACATACACAATCATACACCTACATAAAAAAAACATATAACTACTAAGATATTAAATGCTTTATAACACTTCTATTATGCATCCTTTTGTTTTAAAGCAATAATTTACTGTTTATATTTGTTACAGATGCTTAAATTAATACTGTTATAACTAATTACAACTCACTAAGTGTTAATATACTGCTTCTAAATACCAAACGGGGCTTTAAAATAAAGTGTTTACAGTATTTCTCTGTATTCTGTTAGCAGCTGTATTACAGAAGGTCAAGCTCTTTTTACGTGGTTCGATTGGAAAGTGTTATCCTTTCATTCATGACATTGACAACCACTGATGAAAGCACTGTGTGTACTTTGATTAACAACATTAGTATCAGGATTACTTCTGTTGTTGTTCTCAGACTGAGGATACAGTAGGTACTGATGTCTCCTAGTTCATATGTGTTCGGGCAGATGGGGCTGACCTCTGCCCGGCCCTCGGCTCTCTCTACCATTGTCTGTACTGTGGAATAAATACAATTGGACGGTAACTCAACGGGCGTACGTGTGATTTTATTGTCTTTAAAGTGGCCTCACATTGTAATAAACTGGAAACTGTCAAAACATGTATTAATAAATTACAGCTGATATGATAAAAGGAAGGAATACCAAAATAAATCAGTATTATATCTAGTTTTTATTTATAAACCCTCCTTTTTTTTAATTTTGAAAGTGAAATCAATACATTAGATTATACTCCCATACTGTAAAAACAATCCAAAGCTGACATTTATTTACCCTGTGCAATTAATTTAACTAATTCATGATTTTCTATCTGCCACCTGGTGTCGCCTGTTTATCTATCTACTATCTATGTTTGTACCTGTTTGTAAATAAAGTTTAAAGAAAGAAAGCAGGTTGTGTGTGTGTGTGTGTGTGTGTGAGTTGCTGTTGTATGTAAATCCACTTTATATAAATGTCCAAAAGGTAACAATAAAGCTACGTGTGAAAAAGAAATGGTCAAAGTGGAGGAATTAATGTTTTGTAACTTTGATTAGCGCCTAGTTTTGTTGTGTCTGTTTAGGCTTGTGGGAGCCGACCAATCATCTTTTAAAGCTATAATATGTAAGATTTTACCATAAAGATATTTCTATAAACACTGTTATATATATTTTACATTGTCACAAATATAAAAACACAACAATTTCTATATTCAGGTGATTTTACAATAATGAAAACATACCTGTGGCTATTATATTACACAGTGGACCTTTTGTATATATACAAATAGTCTGCTTGGAACAATAATGTTCTTATAAAAGTATAATTTCACTAATAAAACCATTTAAAAAGTCTCTGAGAATCAGCTAATATTATATAATATATGATTTGACAGCTGTAGTTGAAGCCTGGGTCAACTTTCCACTTTCCTGTATTTAAGAAAAAGCTATGCTAGGATTGTTTATGTTGACGAGACAAACAATTAAAGATGGTTTAAAGATAAAAATGACACACACACACTTTTATTTATATATATTTGTAAGTGTTTTTGTTGTCTGATCAACATAAATTACCTGGCACGTAGCATATCTATGTACAGGAAAGGAGAAAGTGGAAGGGTGAATTCTACATATTGTGCCTTTAATTCATAATCAGAATCCATGAACTCTCTGTATTAAAGTGTCTGCAGTAAAACTTCTATCATAATGTATTAAAAGCAGCTTATTACAGAATAAATAAAAACAAGTACAGCAACAAGAAGTAACCTTTTGTTTATTTTGGCAGATTAAAAATGACTTTCTGTAATTGTTGTACTGGAACACTCTGAAATCAGTTGCTTATGATTATAGTGCCCCCGTTAGGTCAGTTAACATAATGCAAGGTTAGTTTTGTGTTTTTTAAGCGTTCTCTCAATCAAACATATATTACATACAGTATCAACACAAACACACATTGGCTCATTTTACACACAAACTCGACGTGCCCTGTTCACCCCCCAGAGCTGAAACAAGGGGGAGGAAACAGGAAGAAAACTCTCCAAATATTGCACAAAATGGCAAAAGTTGTTTATAAAATTGGCCAAAGTGAGGATAAGCTATGATTGACCCTATAAAAATGTCTTTTAAAACAAATAATTATTCACCTTTTTGTCTTTTTTTTTTTAAAATATGAAGCACTTGTGACACATACAAAAAAACCTTGTAAATTCACTTCACGGGAGGATGGAAGAGCAACGACGGCCTGCTCTTACAGGTGGACGGATGCATGATGGGTAGCGACGGCAGCCTGTACAGCAAAGAGGTTGAGGAGAGACCACGAACGCACAGAGAAAGACAGTAAGTCGTAAGATCACAGCTGAGCTCAACCAGCTCTTGTTGGTTCACCTTTGTGAAGCCAGGTCAATATTACAGTGAGACATCTTTTTATATTTTATGTGTTTTATAGTGCGCGAGGCCTCTTCGGGGTTATCTGTTGGCTGGCTTGCTCCTCTTCCTGGAGTGCAGAACGGAAAGACTTGACTTTGTCTGGAAGAAGAGAAGATGTCACAGCACAGGTTACAGTAACTATTAAGAGAGTAAAGTGTTTATTTATTGGGTTGTGTGAGGAAACATGATGTAGTGACACCGCTAAGTGCTGTGTGTTGGCAAGAGTCTACGATATATTGAGATTTAAAGGGGAACTTGGCGACTCTAGCCATTTCTTCGCTGG